ATGACACACAGTCTAAAGCCAAGGCCTAAACCACTAGGGTGAATCCCTTCTTGTGGCTCCAAGTTTGGGAACAGGAGGGCCTGAGCCATGAGAAATAGGAAAGTCAACTGGCAGTGACGGAAGGGCAGATATAACCTCAATAAAGTGAAACTCATCAGGTTTAGAGAAGCCTGGCCCCAATTTCCCAGCTATGCCCTCAGCTACCACCACTCTGGCTTCCCAGTAAATTCCAGGGTGTGTGTGTTGAGACAGAGAGAGAGGAAGGGAGGGGGAGGGAGGAAGAGAGAGAGAGCGCGAGAGCCAAAGAGCTAACTTGCTTCTTCTCCAGTCCTCCCACTAGTGAGCCCACTGGTAGGGAAGGCTGCCTCCTCCTGAAGGTGGACAAAGCCTTAATCTACCAGTTAAGAAGTGCCAAGGGTCCTGGAGCTGTGCCACCCATTCTTGACCAGGATCCAACTTCAGAGCAAGTTCAAGGGAGGAAGAAGGATGAAGGAAATCACTAGCTGGGGAGGCAGGGGCCCCCACCCACCTGTACCTGGGCAGCAGCTTGATAGGCCGCTTACCTATTGCTATGTCAGCCAATGAGATGGGATGAGAGAAATGACGCCAGCAAGAAGAGGAGTGACAGCAAGGAGAGAGAGGGTTAGACACACGACATATCAGGAAGGGCAGCACACACCGTGAGATAGGAACAGACAAGACACGCAAGGGGTGGCGAGCTCAGCAATACATGCAAGGTGGCAGGTCCCTGCACTGGCTCAATCAGGCTCACCCAGGGGAGGGGAACACTGGAGGATATAGCTAGCAAGGTTCAGGCAGGCCAAGCACTGCCACAAGTCTAGCTCAGCCACACCACCAACCAATGGACAAAGAGCGACAGAGTCCAGCCCAAGCCAACCCATCAGCCAGGGAGCCACGAAGCCAGGGGCACTGCAACAGGCCCATGCTATTGATCTCAAGCTCTTTGAGGAAGAAAAACAGCAGCAGGAACCAGAGTGACCTAATCTTATTAGAGCTGCTAAGGCAAGGAGAGGTCTCTCAGTCAGCAAAGAAAGATGGCATGCAGGGTGGGGCAGAATGAGAAGGCTGTGGCTCCTTGTTAAGGTCTGAAGGACCCAGGACACAGAGCTGTCCAGGTCTACTCTGAGGGGCCAGAAAGAGCAGCGTGACCTCCCTGCCTTTCTGTCAGTGACCCAGGAGTACCTCAAGCTTGCTCACAACCTCTCCTCCAGGAGTGCCCAGAGGAACTGAAAATAGCAGAGTCAGCAGCCTGCCTCCAGAGAAACGGAGTGGGAGAGGATTTGGCAGCCTGGAGAGGCTTTCAAGAGAATCCCATGAAGGCCCTCAATATGAGAGGGCTTTGAGAACAGGACTTAAATGGATTAGTACCTCCAGCCCGGCACTAACTCCACCCGCTGGAGACAGAGCTCCATCTCCTGAAAGGAGTAATCAACCTGCCTGGTAAAAGCACTCATCTCCAGCAGCCAGCCCTATAACTATGCGACACAGTGGGCAGGAAGGATGGGAGCTCCTAAGGCTGTGGGGCCCTGCCACTCCAGGGGCCCTGCCACTCCAGAGGTCCTGCCAGGCAGCCAGCAATTGGCTGCTAGGGCAATGCCACCAGTTCTAAAGGGAACCAGGCTATGGTGGCTGAGCCCAGGATGCAGCAAGGGGTGTGGCCCAAATCAAGCCTCTGTTGGAATAAAACCTGGTCCTGCATGCTGAGGCTGGGGCGATGGGACACAGCTGGTTCAACCAAGGGACTCACCCGATGTCATCTCGGTAGACCCGGGAGATGAGGACCTCCCCCTTGTGATTATAGATGAATAAGCCTCCAATCATGGCGGCAGCTCAGTCTCCGAGGCCCATTGCTCTGAGAAGAGACCTAGGACAGGCGGGGGAAGGGAAGACTTCAGAAGTCCTGCCAGTGTCCCCTGTGGGGCAGTACAGGTCACTGAATCTGACCCCCCCCCCAGTCCTTTAGCAAGTGACCCTGCAGCCCTCTCAGACAAGCCCCTCCCTTCAGCCAGGCTCCAGTTCCTGTTTATCCCACACTAGATAGAAGAAAGAGGACTTGGGCCCAGGATTCTGAGGCCACTCTGACCCTCCCCTTTCTGGGGCTGAGCCAGAGACTAACTCCCCTCCCACCCCCTCTTCACAGTGCTGAGCTAAGCAAGGATCCTTTCTGGCCCCCTCCAGTGCAGACTCTCAGTCAGGCTCCAGCCAGTGAGTCACTGAGAAGGCCCGCCTGAGGCTGCAGGAATGGCACGGCGGTAGGAATTACACCAGCTGGCTCAGGCCTGGAGCCCCCGGGCACAACCTTTAGATCACCCAGTCTCTCAGGCTCCACTCCCCTAATACGAAGGCAAGCAGGGCCCAAATCTCCAGAAGTCTACACATTCCAAGAAAGGTGTGCAGCTTTCAGGGCTGAAGGGAAAGAAGGGAGGCCTTGGGCCCTGACATGGACCCATGGAGTGTGGCCTAAGCAGGTACATCTTTTCCAGGCAGTCAGATAAGGTAGTCAGGCAAGGAAGGTAGCAGAGGAGCAAGGTCCCAGTGCTGGCAAACTTACTTCAGTGATCCAAACTGCCTACTATGGTTATTTCTGATCAACCCCTTTCAAAAAGCTTTGGAGTACAATAAATAAGGAAGGGTGTGTATGCAGGTTTATAAAATTACTAGATCTGTCCTGCTGAAATTCTGATTCCAGACCCACCAAGTAACTCACTTCTGGCGCGAAGGGGCAGGGATGTTAGATTGCCTTAATTACCCAAATTATTTGGGTCAAACTAATTTAGATGGTTTAAGAGAAAAGGGGGGTAAATTTGATTCTAGATTTCCTGGATTAGCCCTAGTATTAATTTCACAGGAGGTAGTTCAGGGGACTCTCAAGAAGGTGGAAACATTCTCACTCTTTCTTCCCGAAGAAGCTGGGAGAGGAAATGTAAAATGGAGGTAGAGTCCTGGGCAAAGAACCAAGTCCTCAGGTATCAAGTGGTAGGTAGGCAGCTCGGGGCCCCAGCAAACAAGAAGTGGGGCCCTAGGCAGGAATGGAGCATTTTGTTAAGGGAAAAGACTGGCAGCCACCACCAGCAAGCAGCATCCTTAGGGAGCCCACAGCAGAAAACAGGGCTGGTGGAAACCCCTAAGCAAAGAGGTTCCGTTGCGGCTGAGGTCAGGGCTTTGACGAGGGAAAGCAGGGAGAGACGGGCGGTGGTAAATAAGGGAAAGTGGGAGACATGGGACCTGCTTTGGGGTTCAGGTGCACAGGCATGAGGTGGGGGCTCCAGGTCCGGGGAGGAGTCGGTGTCGGGGTGCGGGGGCTGTCACAGGTCAGAGAAGAGCCGCGGGGTGTCGCTGAACTGGGGGAAGGGGGCGCCGCACGGAGAGGCCCGTCACCGTCCGAAGAGGCGGCACGAAGCATGTCACCGTCACGGGAGATGGGGGAATTGTCTCTTCGCCGAGGAGGACGCGCCGAGGGCTGGGGGTTGTCACGGTCCCAGGGAGGGGTTGCAGAGCGGTGTCCCGGTTCCGAGAGGATTCTGGTAGGTCTCGCCCTCACAGGAGGAGCCCCGCAGGTCAAGTGGAGGGCACCACTCCCCGCCCGGCCCGCAACCGCGCCCCGGGCGCCCCCTCCCCGGAGTCTGCTCCCTCCGGAGTCTGAAGGCTGAGGCCACTCCCGCGTGTGGGCAGCTTTCCGCCCAGTCCAGCGCAGGGCTGGGCAAGACTGGGCACCGGGGCAAACGACCCGCGGCGTCCTCCCCTACCCGGTAAGATTCGAATCTCTAGCTCACCTGACGTCCGCGGCCCCTTCCTCAGCCGGCCCGGCCGCTCTCCAGATCCCAAGATGTCCGCCCGCCCCCTGCTCGCCTGCCCGCTGCCTCGGCTTTCACTGCAGTGCCGCGGCCCCGCCCAGGCCTCAGCTGCGCTTGCGCACCCGCCTCCCGCGCCGACTACAAGTCCCGCCAGGCCCTGCGGCCTTCTCGCCGACAACTGAGGACTCCAGGTTTATAAAACTACAACTACCGATGGCCTTAGAGAGACCACCCCTCCCAACTTCCTGGGTGGACGTGACCTTAGCGTGCCCCGCCGGTAATCCCTGCACCGCCCACTCCACACACACGGTTTCTCAAGCAGCATCCCGGGAACTGTAGTCTTTGTCTTTGTTGAAGCCTACCTGTTAACTTTGGATTGCTGTAGGCCTTTCCTATCCCGAGTCTGAAAAGTGGCTTCTTCATCTGTGACCTCTCGTTCGTTCTCTCTCCCTCTCTCTCCCTCTCTCTCTCTCTCTCTCTCTCACACACACACACACACACACACACACACACACACACACACACACACACACGCTTGGCAGAGGTGTGATACTCCCAAGTTTTTCTAGTATGTTTTTTCCAGACTTATGCCTTTTCCCAAGAATCAAGACCCAAGGGGGGAGCAGGAAGGGAGAAGACACATTCTTGGAAGAAACTAGATAAAGCCTTTCATGACTTTATCAGTATTCTCAGCTATACCAGTAACTGTACACCTTCTACAGGCAAATGTTTCTTAGAAAATGGTTGGTGAGTTGAATTTTGTTGGACATGGGATTCAAAATCCTTTCTCTGATTAACAGAATTAATCTTTACATTGAAGTTAAGAAGAAGAGGCAGATTAAATCCATGAACACAAAAGGCTACCTGTTTCTTGGAGGAGCTGAATAAAATATGTTGGCTTTTCTAGTTTTTGTATGCAGCAATATCCTGTTGCTTTCACTCAGTAGGCTTAAGACTATCATGGCAGGAAGGCCAAATCTGTTTATGAACCTTACTGTCCCTAGTAGCCCACTACCAGAAGCCAGGATGCAGCAGGATGAAGATCTGGCCTAATCTGTGGTCACATCCTGATGCCATTTAGTGACAAAACAGGCATTTCTAAACCCTGAACCAGCATTCAAAGATTTAATTCTACCTTTGCAAAAGCTTTATCTTCCAAACACCTTAAATGACTGTGATTTAGAGTAAATAATAATAATGGCTAATATTTATTGAGCACCTACTCTACTGTGTGCCAAGCACTGTGCTAGGCATTTTTCGTACAATATGTAATTTAAATCCTCACAACAACCCTGTGAGGTAGGTATCATTATCATCTTACATACAAGAGGACTGAGGCTCAAAGAGGTTAAATAACTCTCCTATCACAAAAACAAAAAGTAGTAGAGCTGGAATTCAAACCCAGACCAACCTGACTCCAAATTTCATGCTCTGGTAAATTAGAGACAAAGGGGAAAGGAAGGGCCAAATTCCAGAAAGGTTGTGGGAGTGGAAAGGATGAAATATGCTAATAAGATACAGAAAGAAAGAATTTAAGCCCCTAAATGTTTCTAGCTGGTGAGCCTATGTAGATCTGTGATGAAGGTCACCAGGACAGGGATTCAGGAGGAACACCAGTCAGGACATGAGTTGAGTCCATATGGACATGTCTATGGAGATGTCCAGTGGGTAATACAAATACAGATCGAAAGTTTGAGGATGGTGAGGTTGGAGCTAGAGATGGGAATCACCAGCACATCAGCAGCAACTGAGGACATCAGGATAGGTGACAATGTTTTGGGAGTAGAGAGGAAAGGGAAGTGGACCAAAGATGGAACAACGGAAATACCAACCCCGAAGGCAGGAATGTAGTAGAGGTATTCTCAAGAGTTGGACAAGGCAGAATCAGAGAGAAAAGTACAGGAAGGAGGTGGCCCTGTAGTGGTGGCTAGAAGCCATGGCCTGGGTTTGGGAGGAAACCCAGATAGGCAGGACTGAGTCATACTTTCAACACAGGCCCTTAGTCACTAAAACGTCAGGAAATACTTGTTAAATGAATGAATGCTGAAATGTCCCTACTTCAGTTTGCCCCAAAACCTGGGCTAAGGACTTCATCTCTCTCAGTATCCTAAGCCTGCAAATATGGGAGTCTGGGTGAATCAGGAGAATTTAGAGTGGAGGCTTAAAGAGAACATCATGATTTGTTTAAAGTGGAGAATGAAGTTGAAAAAACAAAAACAAAGACAAACAAAGTAGAACTCTGGAAGTCCCAGAAGTCCTTTTGCCTAACTTCAACTGGCCTGCGGGTTCCTGTCGTTGTTCTGGGTGTCATGGTAAGTGTGAAAAAAGGGAAAGATGGGGTGTGTGTGTGTGAGAATGACCTGTCAGTCACCTGCAGAGTTCTCTGCTGAGCCCATCCTGAGACCTAGCATATGGGCTTTTTCCAGGTGGGAAGAATTTGGGGACACATGCGGGAGGCTTGAGGGCTCTGAGGAAAGGGACAGGGAAGTCAGGGGACCAGCCCCACTGTCTGGAGAGGGTCCAGCCCTCTGTGCAGGGACCAGCCCTGAAGCTTAAGTGAACTTGCATAGGCACGTGTGTGTGTGTGTGTGTGTGTGTGTGTGTGTGTGTGTGATTGATTTTCTCTGCAAAGAAACAAGGTCCTCCGTGCATGGGTGAAGCTGGAGCCCTCCCCAGAAGCCTAGTGACCTGGAAATGTGGCAGTGGGGCTGGCATCCTTGGGAAGCCCCCAAGGGCTGCTGAAGCAGGGTTCTTGGTCTCCTCGGAGGCTGAGCCTCCCATTGCGGGGGTGCTCACAGAAAGTCAAACAGCCCGAAATTCTTGGCTGCTCCAGGCCCAGGGAAAATTGGGGGAGGAAAAAAAGAAAGAAAAGAAATGTTTCAGGCCCAAGGTGAGATAAGCCTGCTGGTTAGTAGGGTTAGGGTCTGGAGGAACCAGCACACAGGCAGCACAGGGACAGGGGGTCCAGCAGAGGTGCTCCCTTGAGTCAAGAGCTGCTTAAGCACCCAAGGGGGCTCTCTGGGATCGACAGCATGAATGGCCAAAGGAGGGGGCTCCGGCACTGGGGTGCAGGACTGAGGCAGCAGGCAGGACACAGGAAGGGCAGAGGAAGAGGCCTATTTTGGTGCCAGTACTGTGGGGGAAATCAAGAGGTTTGCACTCATGCTTGGAGGGGTGGGCTTAATGCAGGGATGATGCAGCTGAATGAATAGCAAAAGGATTCCGAGGGGCAAAGGGGGCGAGCACCCCAGGCCAGCTCATGAAGTGTGTGAGGGTGAGCAGACCAGAGTAAGCACCAGCAAGTCTGGACCAGACACTCAAGTCCTGGGAAGCCCCACGCAGTGTTAGTGGGCAGGGGGCGAAGCTGGGCCAGAGGCAGGTTAGGGGCTGCAGAGCCAATCACTAGCTGCACCGTGCCCTCGCTGAACCCAGCGAGCAGGTAGCGCGTCTGGGTTTAGTTCCGTTTATTTCCTTTTCAGGTACCAGACAAAGTAAAAAAGGCGGAAGGATGGAGAGGGACGGCGGGCGGGGGCGGGGCAGGACGGCAGTCGGGAGGGGCCCTGCTCACATCACATCCACAAAGAACTCACTGGGGTTTCCCATGGCCATGCGGAAGGACTGTCTGCTGGCGGTCAGTTCGGGGGGCACGGAGGCCAGGTCGCGGCCTGGAGGGGCTCCCGGGGGCCCCATGGCTGCGGGCGGCGGGGGCATCATCAGCACCGGGGGGCCGTACAGCGGGGGCACTCCGGGGGGGCCGTAGCTGGGGTGCGTGTGGTGGCTGCGCAGGCTGCTGGCCAGCGAGTGGTGGCTGCGGTGGCTGTGCTCGCTGGCGGCCGGGCCCGAGCGCTCGCTGGGTGCGCGCTCCCGTGGCCCCCGCAGACTGCTGCGCGTCGTGTGGTCCGATTCGCTGCCGCTGCCGCCCGACTTCGAGTCCCCGGCCTTCGGGTCCTTCTCCTTGCGCCGATCGCTGCCACTGCGGTTGGAGCCGCTACTTCGACTGCCTGTAGGGACACGCAGGGCCAGGGCGGGCACTGAGAGTGGGCATGGGAAGCCGGGGCTGGCCCGGGGCTCCCTCTGTGCGCGGCTCCCCTTACCTTCGCTGTGCTGGCTGCTGGCGCTGCCCCCGCCATAGCTGTAGCCCAGCTCCGGGAAGCCGGGGTGCGGGTTGTAGGGGTGCGGGGGTGGTGGGTATTGGTATGGGAAAGCCATAGGCCAAGGCGCGGCCCCCGGGTGAGGCAGAGGGGCCAGCGTGTCCTGGTCGGAAGCACCACTGGAGCCGTCGTGGTCGTGGAGGGACAGGTTGGCCATGTCTGTGGAGGAGCCAGGAGAGAGGTCCTTAGCCTAGGTCGGGTGGTAGGCAACTGTGGTAGTTTCTGGCACAGCACTGGCCAAAGAGCCCACTCCTTCTGCAGACCCCTTTGGACACCACAAGAGACAGTGGGAGACCCTGGGAGACCCTCCAGGGAGGCTCAGCATCATCACTCGCTCTCAGCCAATCTTCACACCCAGCACCCAGGCCCTCCAGGCCCAGGCCAAGCTTGGTGCTCTCTCCTTCCTCCTCAGAGGGCAGGAAGAAAGGGCAAAGCTCTTACTCTGCCGTCTTCTCTAGTGTTCACTCAGCAGGTGCCTGTCAGGGAATGGGGAAGGCAGCACTGCCAGGCAGCCTCCAGGGCCTGCACCCTGGGGCTCAGAAGACACTACACAGTGCTCGGTCTCCTAAAGAAACGCCACAATCCCCTCACTTTCCCAGGGGAGGGAAGTCAAGTCCAGAGGGGTTAAATGCGCAGCCCGAGGTCAACCTAAACTGTAAGCAGAACAGAAGCTATGCACTGCTTTCTCTCCTGACCTTTCCAGATAGGGCCATTAGAAGCAGGGACCGGTTTAGAGGAATTTAGGTGAAATTTTTTACTCCCTCCCCTCTGGAACTGAAAAAATATCCATTCAAAGCCCAGGACGAGCACAGGCCTTTCAGAGCTTGCCTTATAGGAGGCCCCTGTCCTGACCACATTTCCCTGGTGCTGCTGGGGAGGGTGAGGATGGGCTGGGACGCGTCAGAGAGAACAACTTGGTGCTTCCTCTGTGCCCTGCACCCATTCTCAGCCAGGTCTGGCACCAACTCAGTCTATCAACACCACGGACTTCATGACTTTGGCTGTCCCCAGAAATGCTACGCTCTTTAAGGGCAGGGCTGCCCCTGTCAATGCTGGGGCTACTGGTAGGGACTCTATAGGGCCACCAGGACCCATGACCTGCCTGGGACAGCCTTTGCTCACATGCCACCTGTACCAGGCCCCAGGGCTCTGAGAGAGCTGGAGCTGCCCTGGAAGAGGGAAGCAGTGGGCTGCCTGACTTGTCCCAGAGAGCCGCTGATGACTTTAGCCTGCAGGCTGTCGTCCTGGGAGTGACTGTGTGATCCTTCCTCCCTCTGAGCCTGCCACATTCCCAGCTGAGGACCCTGGCCAGTGAGAAGGAAGAGGCTCTTCTGTCAGCATCACCCTGACCTGGGTCTTGGGTGGCCTGGGGTCTGGATGGGAGACCCAGATGGACCCATGGAAAAAACAGTATCTTTTTTTTTTTGTGGTACCGGGGATCAAACTCGGGTCCTTGTGCTTGCAAGGCAGGCGGTGGAACCACTGAGCTAAATCCCCGGCCCAGAAACAGTATCTTTTTTTTTTTGGTACCAGGGATCAAACTCGGGTCCTTGTGCTTGCAAGGCAGGCAGGGGAACCACTGAGCTAAATCCCCGGCCCAGAAACAGTATCTTTTGAACAAAGACCATAGCTGCCTTGGAAGCTTTAGGTGTCCTTGGAGGTCTGGGGCTAGGGCTGACTTCTGCCAATGATGACAATGATACACATTTCATTAAGTCTAAGAAGCTATTGATTGTAACATGTACCCCAGTCTCACGAATACTTTAATGTGAAAAGTGTATCTCATTAAATATATGAACAAGTAGTTTTTATAGAACACTTACTGTGGTTCATGTACTGTATTAACAGCGTTATATAAATTATCCTCAAAACAGCCCTGTGAGACAGGTTCAACTCTTATCTCCATTATTTTTTTTCCAACCCAGAACCTTGCACTTGTCAGGCAGGCACAGTGCCACTGAACTTAATCCCCGGCCCTCTCATCTCCATTTTACAGACCAACAAGTTGAGGACTAAGAGGCTACACATTCATTTTCACACAGTAAGGGTAGGGCTAGGATTTGAACTTAGAAGTGTCAACTTCCAAAGTCCTATGCATGTATCACTGCTCCACAGGGCCATGCTGAAACTGCTGAGGGCCAGGACACACCTTTCACCTGGGTCTGTGTTCTGCAGGATCAGCCATTCTAGTCCCCGGAACCCAATCTGAAGCACTTTACAAGTCCGCTGTTAGAAACCAGACAGCACCACTGGACTGAGGGAAGGCTCCCTCAGGCAGACAGGGCGGCTGGGCGTGGGCCTGTGCAGAGAACTGCTGCCCTGTCCTGAGGACTCCCCATCCCAAGGGATATGCCCGGGCTAAGGAGGAGAAGGGAGTCCCTGCAGACCTCTCCTGCTAGTAGCCCTCATGACCCTTTTAGACTGCTTGGCACAGCTTTCAGGGTCTTCTGTGACCCCAGCCCTGGCAACTTTTTCAGCCTCAGGGGTCTGAGGAGGACCTGGAGTATCTGGCCAGCCTCAGGTCCTGCCCTGGAGGGACCTGCTTGGTTCAGGGACCAAAGGCAAATACTCTGTGCGGCTGTGCACCGTATACCCAGGCCAGCCCCAGGCACTGGAAAGAGCAAGAGCTGGGTCCAGGGCACAGCTCCTCTCCTCTCTGTGTGAGACTCGGGTAGACTGTCTTATGCTCAGAACATAGAGAGTAAATCTCCCCATGCCGGGATTGTGAGCATCAAGTAAGACGGTACTTAGGAACAATCAGCACTGTGCCAGGTGCAGAGTGTGCACACAGAGAATGCCAGACTCAAAAGGGAAAAGTAGGGCAGGGGCAGGGTCTAGGTTGGACTGTTTCCACTAGGGAACTCTCAAGGCTAAGCCGGGGCCCCCAGCTCTGCTGTGCCTCATCTGAGTTCCTTAGAGTCTGCTGCCCCATCCCTGGGCACCTCCCCACTCCCAGCTCCCCACCACCAGTCAGGGCGAGGAGATGGGGGAGGCACATACTGCCACAGAGGTCTCCAAAGATGTAGTAGCACTGCTCAGAGAAGGTGATCTTGTTGACAGTGTGGCGGATGAAGCCGGCTTTTAGCAGGTTGCTGGCATACTTGCGGGCCTCCCGCCGGTCAGTGAAGCCTTCCACGTTGTGGTACAGCCAATCCACCACATCTGAGCCTGGGGAGAAGGCTGCCAGGTGACTGGGGGGCCCAGCTGATCTGAGCTCCTCTGGTCTCACAGAAACTCAGAGGAATGGGCCAAGGGGGTTCTCGGGTCCCTCCCACCCAGCGTGCCCTGTCCCCTCACTCCCCACCCTGTCCTTCATCCCACCATGGGGGTCTCTCACCGATGAAAGCATTGGGAATGGTGATCTTGAGCCACATGCGGTCTCGGACCTCCAACCCTGATTCAGGGGAGGCCATGGCTTTTACGATGGCGGCCATGTCACTGTGAATGGATAGGTGGAAGTCGTCTAGGCCTGGGGGTGGGAGGCAGAATGGTAAGGCAGGAAGGGGCTTTAGGGTTAGGTAGGCAAGAGTTTACATTCCAGCTCTCCCACCCACTAACGTTGGGCCCAGTGCTGCACAAATCACTGATTTCTTGGACCCTCAGTTTTCCTCTCTGTAAAAATGGCCATTTTAGTATTTACAAGGGTATTTGAAGAAAGAATTAGTGATTAAATGAAGGTGCTTAGCACAGTGTATGTGTGCAGGTTATGAAAATAAAAATGGCAGCTATTTACTGAGTGCTTACTTTATGCCACACAGTGTTATCTGTCACTGGTACCCTCTTATTAAACCCACTGGGGCCTGGTAAAGCACATATCGACAGCCCTCTTTCATAAGAGGACACAGAGGCTCCCTAGGTGCTCAAGACCAGGTCAGCAGCAGACGATGCTCAGTGAGGACTGAGTGCAAACTGGGGGATGAGCAGTCCCCTCTCTGGCCCTCCTGCAGGCTCAAGCCCCTCACCTGGCCTTGTTTCTGGGCCCAGGGCACAGGGTTGGACACTCACGCTCTGTGTCGGGGATAGAGCTGGTGATAGAGGAGCTGGTGGAGGTGATGGTGCTCAGGGAGGGGCTCATGCCGTAGGCAGGGAAGGTGCCCGTCATGGCTGCAGTGTGGGAGACCCAGGCCGCAGGGTCGATGGGCCGGATGGGCTCGCCTACAGGGAGGATGTGGAGTCACCAACAGGTAGGTGTGAGGGCTCAAGGTGACACGGAAGAAAGGAGGGACAGGGCTCATGTATGCAAAGCACCAACTCCAGGAATAAATGCCTCATCCACTTACTCCTAGGTAATGTGAAGCAACCACGTGGACTTGGGTCCCAGCACTTGGCTACGGTCAGGGTGATGGGCCTGAAAACAAGGTTGTCCTAGTAAGGGAAGGATGAGGGGAGGCCAGCCCCAGTTGCTTGCCTGACAGCCGGAAATGCTGCCCCAGACTCCCCCAGGCCCCATTCCATCCATACCCCGGCTTGTGCACAATCTCCCGCAGTACCCGGACAGCGTCATCATTACTCATGTTCTCAAAGTTGATCTCGTTTACCTGAGGAAGAGGACCAGGTGTGGGATAATGGGCTGTGCCAGGAAGAGGGGCAAGGGAGCTGGGCCTGGGGGTCAGGAAGCCTCCTCCAGAGGGCAGGGATCCCCTCACGCCCACCTACCCCACACTGGGGGGAGGCAACGCTACCTGTAAGAGCATGTCCCCGGGCTCGATGCGTCCATCGGCAGCCACGGCCCCACCCTTCATGATAGAGCCAATGTAGATCCCGCCGTCACCACGCTCATTGCTTTGGCCCACAATGGAGATGCCCAGGAAGTTATACTTTTCTACAAGGAGTAATTTAACACCTTGAGCGGGGCCATGTCCCTGCCCAAATTCCCATCCCCTTATTAGAAAAGGGCAGAGAGGGACAAGAACTGACATTTACTGAACCTGAGCCAGGCACTGTGTACATTCTTTTTTTTTTTTTTTTTTTACCAGGGATCAAACTCGGGACCTTGTGCTTGCCAGGCAGACACAGCACCACTGAGCTACAATCCCCAGCCCCGGCACTGTGTATATTCTGCTTGAACATGCTTTCATGTAATCCCTGCTGGCTACGAGATGTCGACATTCAGTCCCATTTTAGAAAACAGGCAAGTGAAGTTTAACGAATTTAGGTGACTCCTTAGGCCAGTAAGAGGCAGAGCCAGGATTCAAAATCAGATTTAATTTTCCAAGTTGGATTCTTATCACATCCAGCTGTCTCCTAAGAGTCCCTAGGGCAGTGGTGGCAAACTGATGGCATGCGTGTTATTCTTTTTTTCAAGACAAAAAACGTTAATGCATGAGTTGTCTTTCTGAACTAAACCCTTGGTATTCAGGGTTAATTGCAGTGTTGGCACTCTGCGATAAATAAGTGGGTTTTGGGTTGCAGTGTGGGAAATTGTCTCTAAAAGCTTTGCCGTCACTGCCCTAGGGCAGAAATCAGAGGGAGGATGCAAAGGCTAAAGAAGGCAAGGGGCAGGGTGCGAAGAAAGCCCTTCCTTCCTCCAGGAAGCCCTCCCTGGTGTGTCCTGCCTCCACAGCATTCTGTGCTTGTGTGTTACAGCCCTGGCCATGAGATACTGATGTCAGCAGTTTGTCAGCTGTTGTTTTTGAGACTCCTTGAGGGCAGGGAATATACCACATCCCCGCCTCCCAGACCCCTCTGCCCACCCAGGGTCTGGCGCTGGCAGGTGTGCGCACTCACCCATGTTGAGAGTGACAGTGATGATGTTGAGAGACATGGTGGAGTCTGTGATGCTGCTGAAGGATGAGGACTGGAAGAGATGGAGTCCTGAGCAGCAGGCAGGAGCGGCAGGAACTCACTGCCGCCACCTGGCTCCTTCTCCATGCCCCACCCTCACCTACTGCGGTTCTAAACCCTGAACCCAAGGGAAGGGCTTGGAGGAAGAACAATCTGGGAAGGGCTTCTGATCTACCCGCATCCAACCAGCCAATCCAGACCCCATACCCGCTCAATCCTCGAGATCTTCTGCTTCCGCCGCCGCCGCTTGTGTCTTCTCATCAAGCGGGAGGCACTGCTCTGCTCTGTGGAGCTGCTGAACCTGTGGGGCCCAGAGTCTTTCCCCACCAGGCTGCCCAGCCCTGCCCCATGAGAGGCACTGCAGGGCCCACATCCCCAACCCAAAGCCCGAATCCCTCCCGGGGCTCAGCATCCTGCTGGGTTCAGGGCTTCTCAGCAGCGGCTGCCCTCAGTACCCATGGGACTAAAGCCCCACCTGCTGGTGGAATCATCCTCGTCGGAGTCGAAGAAGCTGGTAGTCTCCAGTTCGCTGCTCATGAGCGTGGATGAGCTGTCATAACCGCCCGGCTCTCGCCGCCGCTCCCCCTTTGCTGTTCCATTTAACCGGGTTGCTGCAGTGGACAGAGGCAGCTGGGGTCACACAATGCCCAATGCAAAGACAAAGAGACCGGTCCAGGCATAGTCAGAGGTCGGGAATGGGGTGCAGGGGGCAGACACACCATGCTCTGGGCCGTCCCTCCGACGTGGCCGTTCCCGCTGGGCAGACACCAAGGAGTCCGTCTCTGTGTCATTGTCCAGGTTCTCCTGGCTGCCCCCACTGGCATGAGGGCTGCATGGAAGAGAGGATTTGGCAGGGGAGGGGGCAGGGGGGGAGCTCCCTCCTCAGCCCTGGGCTGAGTGGACGCTGCCCTTCCCCACGGGCCCTCCTGACCCTCAGGTCACACTCACTGGAAGGACGGGGGTCGTGAGTCCCCGATGCCTCCTGTGCGCTCCATAGGTGGTGGCAATTCTGAGGGGTTGTCAGCACAGAAGGGGGCAGGCTCCGGATGCGAGCCTTCAGCTGACACCAGCTGATGAAGAGAAAAGGAGTGGGTACTGTGTCACAGGGGGCACCGGGGAGAGAGGGGGAGTAGGCTTTTGGCGGGGCAGCAGAGGTGAGGAGCAGCCCCATGCCCAGGTGTGTGTGTGGGGCCTGGGAGGCATGCATTGATGAAGCAGGTGGGGGCAGGCAACAAGGGTCAGTAGTCCCAGACGAAGGTCCCAGGTGACAGCAAGTCTTGATGAGCATTGGAGATGGTTTATCTCTACTGTGTGTTTCTCTCTCCCTTCCCACCACTCTCCTACTTTTCATTAAAGATTAAGAATTCTGGGTAAAAAACAGTTCTGTTAGAAAACTACAGGAAGATCCAGATACTAGAACCTAAAACCCTCAGCCACAGTCTCAGCAATGCCTTTCTGCCTCCAGCAGCAGGACGCAGGCAAACGGAGGCGGAGGGCTCCTTACCCAGGACACCACGCGGCCATTGAAGCAGGGTAGCTTGGCATTGTCGTCAGAGATCTCCTCCTTCACCACTCTGCAGGGAAAGGGGCTGTCAGAACTTTCTAGTGTGGACCTGGAGGGGCCTCACAGCCCCAACTGTCCTCTACCCTAAAGTGGGGATAAAGTGACCAGAGTTCAAATGGTAGCAGAGAAGGTGACCCAGGGACGGCCCTTCCCACCAGCCCTGAATGTGAACCAGCCACCTTCCTGGGCATCTTCTCCATCATCAGGTGATCCCAAATTACAAGGAACAGACCGCTGCCTCCATGTGGCCTCTAGAGGCTCCAGAGGGCGTTACCCAGCCCCAACATGGCTTTCCTGGGCTGGACTCTCTTTCCTTCTAAACCCTGAGTTGGGGAAAAAGTACATAATTATTATTGCTCTTCTCTTCTTGGAGGAAATTAGGAAAGAGAAGGGGAAAAGGCATTTACTGAACAGCTTCCATGTACCATGAAAATAATTAATAGTGACAACCACTCTCATCTACTGAGTAAGCATAATGGGTCAAGCACTATGCTACTCACTTTACTTGTATCAGTTCATTTCATAGTCACAACAGTGCTATAAGGTAGAGCAGATAGGGAAAACAGGCTCAGTGTGTTCAGTAATTCTCCTAAGCTCATACCACTAGTAAGTGAAAAGCCAGCATTTGAATCCTGGTCAGCCTGACACTAAAGTATGTATTCTTACCTATTATACTATCTTCCACCCCCGTGGTTAGAACATATACTCTTCATATTAGCCTCATGAGGAAGACAAAAGGAACTGCCTTTCATGGATGAGGAAACTGACAAGCATTCAGTAACTTGTGCAGGGTCACAAAGCTAGGAGATGGCAGAGCTAGAATTCAACTCCAGGCTAGCCTGACTGCAAACCTCATACTCTTTCCACTGTACGTCACATTCTTTTCTGTCTGCTGACAGAGATAATGCGGGTCAGGCTGGGTGCTGGGGGGACAAGGATGCGGGGCATGAGGGGTACAGTATGCAGTCATGGCATGTAGTTTGGTCTAGGGAATGCAGTAAGGCAAGAAGTCTGATACTGACTAAGGTCTGGGGCCCGGGAAGGGAACGGAAAAGTCTGAGGACTGTCAGACTGTCAAACACCCCAGGAACACAGAGCTGGGAAGACGTGACCATGAGTGAGAAAGAGAACAGCACACGGGCGATTTAGCTCAGTGGTTCCAGCGCCTGCCTTGCAAGCGCAAGGTCCCGAGTTCGATCCCCAGTACCAAAAAAAAAAAAAAAAAAAAGAACAGCACAGGTCTAGAGTTCTGATCAGAGGGAAGACAGCAAGGGAGGAGACTGGGAAGTCCAAGCAACCTTGTTCTGACAGCAGCTTCTGCCCAGAGTCAGGAACGTGCTTGGCTCCTTGTGATGCTCACATTCTTGGACTCACAGCCAAATTCGCAGGCCAAGTCTGCCCTCCTCCCTCCCATCCAGCTCTGGCTCCCACTCTTTCCAACCCCACAGTGACCCTGAGAAAACAGCCCAAATCATCCTACTCAGGATCACGATGGCAGAAAGCCTAGAGAGAATGGGTGGAAAGAAACAAGAGAAGTAGCTCAGACTCACCAGCTGGTCTGGCCACAGGGTAACCTGGGCTTGCAGCCCTGCAGGGCAGCCAGGGTTCAGAGGCAAAGGGACTCATGGGCCACATGGCAGACGACATGCTCTGCTTTGGAGAGTGTCTCTGTGGTGGGAAACTGCTGCTAAGTCCCCTCACCACCCCTAGCAGGCCCCACCACACTGCTCCACACTACAGATGTTTCCTCTCTTTCTGGGGGTCACCAACAGGTCACCAAGACTCTGCTAACTCATGATGATCAGCTGATCTTCAGCAGCCCTGGAGGACCTCAGACAGGCCATATCTTTCCATGGTAAAGCTGAATGGCTCAGGGCTCCACAGCATGCTCCCAATCTCTCTAACTCTCTCTCTCTCTCTCTCTCTCTCTCTCTCTCTCTCTCTCTCTCTCCTCTCTCCCTCTCTCTCTCTCCTCTCTCCCTCCATCCCCTCCCCCCTCTATCTTAGAGGAGTCTCTTAACTTTCCAAGCCTTTGTCCCATGCTCTTATAACAAGGTCTAAGTTGCTAAGACCCGGATCAAACAAATCTCCTCATTCCTCATCGTTTGTCCAATTAAAAAGCTTTTTCGAGAGCCAGTGGGTTTCGGTCCTGAGCTTGCCATGGCATGGACTCATCAAGTGTCAGGCCTAGAGCCCACCTTGCACTCTGAGAGAAACATGTAAGTGTACGGCAGGTGGGGAGAGGTTGAAGCCAGAAGAGCAAGAGCCATGGAGAGACATTACTGAGTGTCACTTAGGGGTCAGGGTCTGGTTAGAACTGGGTAGGGAAGTAAGGACAGAGGGATAAAGTGCCATGATGACTCTCATGCAAAAGTTCCACCTGGAGAAGAGGAGAATTTGGACCTGGAGGAGACAGGGGAAGAAGACTGCTCCAAGTAGGAGGCCCAAAGTTAGGATAGTATGTGACATGGAGAGGTAACAAGTGACCTAACTTGTCACGTTGCCCCCTGCTTTAGCTCAAGGGTAGAACAGCAGTGGCTATTTAGTTCTTCCATCTTAGTCCCACCATCTAATGCTGAAGATGTTTATCCTTCTTCTATTACCCCAAGCTTGACAACAAGGGGACCACATGGGACCGGGGCGTCCTCAGGCCTCACCCCCTAAAACTCAGAGGGACAGCAGCCATCTCCTTCTCTGGTGCTCCTTCCCTCCTGTCTGGGCTTGCATAAGTGTCATCCCTGTCACTTCCCCAGTTTGCCAAGGGCTACCGTCTCCCTGGAGAGTGCCTCTGTAAAAGGCTGATAACCATCAAGCCTCCAACTGTGTGATTAGGGCTTTAGACTTTGGATCTAGATTCCTAAAGTGGAACCAAGCTCTGTTACTTACTAGCAATGTGATTTTGGGGAAGTAACTTAAGCTTTCTGCCCCCTCACTTGTAAAGTGGGGCTATTACACCTATTTCACAGGGCTGTTATGAGGATTCTGTGAGTAAAGATTTGCAAGCATTTGGATCAGTGTCTGGCACACAGTAATCACCAAAGCGTTTGAATGAAATGCTTATTCACCAAATAAATGAAACATACTGTGTGCATGCTCCTTGGCTATCACTGCTCTATGACAAGATAGCCCTACCACCAGGTCACCTGCTCATTTATCCTTCTGGGAGTAAAATCAGTCAATCTCTACCACTCCATTTTTAGCATTGTTCTTAACCCTGCCAACTCTGATTATTTTGCAAAGAGTGTTTCAAGTACCACTGATGTGTGCACAGTGACTTCAGGTGGCACATGATAAATGCTGCTGTTTGATATTTATTTGTAACATTTGTATTTATTTATAGTAGGGATAGAACCCAGGGTCTTGGGCATGTAAGCAAGTGCTCTACCACTAAGCTACACATCCCCAGACTCTTTTATTTTTTTATTTTGAGACAGGGTCTCACCAAGATGCCCAGGCTGGCCTCAAATTTTAGATTCTCCTGCCTCAGCCTCTGGAGTAGCTGAGATTATAGATGTGTATCACAGTGCCTGACATTATAACATATTTTAGAAAGAAATATAAATAAAAAATCAGACCCAGGGTTGACTTCATATTAGTTGAGTTAAACTAAAAAAAAAAAATGAGTAGACTGACAGTAGAGTTAAAAAATATATAAAGTAAACAGTAAGTGGATGTAATGGGGGCTTTCTTATAACTGTAGTTAGGCTTAACTCAATAGCCACCTTCGAGAGTGGGAGGGGCCCTGGGAGGTCTGCTTAGGAGGCAGAAGCAAGGTGGGGGATGGACACAGACAGACACAGACATATCCTCGCCCTTCAGTGTAGCTGATGTTCCCCTAGCCCATTTCCTGTGGCAGTCTCTTGGTCCCTTCCCACCCTATTTTCTCTTGCCAGACAGAAGCACCCACCCCCCTTCCAGATGGATGCTCCTGAGAATCTTCCAATCAGGCACTGACACCAGACAATCATCACCACCCTAGGAGTCTGCACTCCAGGCCAGGAACAACAACAGCATCAAGAGTACAGAGGATCCACCTAAAGTAGCACTCCCTGCTGTACAAAGCACTTTCACAAACAGGACTTCATGGGCTCATCCATGCTGAGTGCCGGACAGAAGGTGACAGCAAACATGCTAGGCGGAAGACAGAAGGTGCTTGCCTCCTGGGGCCAGGAGGGCTGGGGTCTTGGAAAAAAAGCCAGACTGATGAACACTGGGAAGAGAAGGGCTCCCCTCCCATCTCTGGGGCCTCAGCTGCAAAAAACAGGGCAGGCCTCAGGCTAGGCTGGAGCGGCTGGCCGCCTGCAGGCCTGGAGGACCCAGCAAGGCCTTTCCCCACCACGGCCTCCAGGCCCAGCGCCCAGTCAGTGTAGGGCAGGCAGTGTGGGGGCCTCCCCTCCCCCAGTCCCTTGGGAGTTGGGGGTGTGTGTGTGAGGGGATCAGCCAGGCTCCCCCTCCCAGGCCAGCTGCTACAGAACCTTCTGGCTCCAGCATTCCAACCCCTCTTAAAGGGGCAGTGGCTGCTTCCAACATGCCTTATAGCTGGGTGGAAGGGAATACCCCACCAGGGAAGGGGAAAATGGACAATATCAAGAGACTCTTCCTGGCCCGCCCCATCCAGGATTGATGGTTCTTTCCTACGTCTCCCCCTGGGCCATTATCTGGAGGGAAAAGGTTCCACTTCGGAAGGGAAATCAGCACCTGGGTTAGTGGGGACTCTCAAGAGTCGGATGCTCTGCTCCCTTGACAACACCGCGATCAGCCCACAGGGAAAAGGGGCGACAGTTAAATAAACACCAAGTCTGCAGGTCCTCGCTCCCAGCCTGGCGTGGGGGACCGAACTTCCCCTCCCTCTGTTCAAAGTCCCACAGCACAGCCTTCAGATGCACGATGCTCCAAATATGGCTGAGTTGTGCAGCAGACCCGTGCCAAACACCCCAAGTCTACGGTGAGAAAAGGTGGCTCCTCGGGAGGAGGAGGGTTGGGGACAGGGTGGAGGGGGTGTGTCTGTCTATGTGGGCCACTGTTCCGGGGAAGGGAGGAGGAGGGGGCTCGCCTGGGAGAAACTCTGATTGAGGACTGGGGGAGCCCCAGTCCTCCAAAACCAGGGGGCAGTAAGGGATGAACGGAGAGTCCCTAGAGGGGCTGGAACCCCTGTTCCCGAGGAAGCCCTGGGAAGGGGGCACCAGGGCCGCGCGGCCCTGCGAGGAGGGGAGACGCCAGCGCAGCGAGGGAGGTGCTAGGAACGGGGCCGGGGCTCCCGGGGGCGGGGCGGGGGCCACCCTCACCCGAAGTCGTCGTCCATAGACTTGAAGAAGAACTTGTAGCTGGGTCGTTGCAGCACGCCCTTAAAGTCCGCCAGGGTGACCCGCTCGGCGGGCAGGGGCAGCTTCACCAGGTACGGCGTCTCCTGCCCGTCCAGGTGGTAGATGATCTTGGTCTCGCCCATGGCTCCGGCCTCGGGCCCGGCGGCCCACGCGCGGCCCGCTCGGGCGGCCGGGCCGGGCCTCTCGGACGCCGGCTGACGGCGGCAGCGGCGGCGCTCGGCGAGGCCCAGAGGCTCAGCCCCGCTCGGCGCCCGGCCGCGGCGCCAGATCCCTTGTTCTCTGGCCGCCCCCGGGTCCCAGCGCCGCCCGCCGCCGCCGCTTCCGCTGCCCACTCTCCCGGCTCTGCTGGCGACCGCGACTCTTCCGGTGGCCGCGGCCCTACCGACTCTGGACTGCGGCGCGCCCGCGCCCCTCCCCGGGCCCCGCCTCCCGCCTCCCGCCCCGTACAGGTCCCGCCCCCCGCTCCTTGCGGCGTTGGCCCAGGCCACTTCGGAGGCGGAAGCCGAGGGCTCACCCAGGTGTCTGCGTTCTTCGACCCCTCTGGCCCCTGACTCTGGACCCACAGGGGTGGGTGGCGGGCCCCCTGCAGCCTGGGAGGGGTGAATACCCGGGGCGCTAGGGTCTCCAGAAGGAGGGTGGATCTGAAGATCTGACTGTGGATCCTGGGAAAGCGGCCTCAGTATGGCCCTTTAGGGTCCACAGCGGCTGTCATCGAGTTACTAATCTGAAGCCAACACAGGATCGCCTTCTGATTCGTCTTTGTAACCTCAGCGTCCAGGTGCACTCATACATTTGAGTGAAGAATAAGTGACTGGACATAAGTCTCAAACCAGACCTCTTTAATAAATATTCAGTACCTACTAAGTACAAGGCATCCTGCATGAGACAGCAGGCGCAAGACAGACGGGGCTGCTCTCAGGACCTCCACTCCACTGGAAGAACGCACACAGGCTTGTAACCAGGTAACCTCAGAGTGACACAGGTGAGGGAGAATGAAGTGATGTGATAGGGGCGGGAAGAAAAGACCTCTTCTGGGAAAGAGTATTCCAGGCAGAGGGCACAGCTGAATGGAAAGGCTCGGAGCAGAAATAAACTGGCTACCTGTGAGGACCAAAAAGCGTATTGTGATTGGAGGGAGTTATATTCGAGCTTAGAAGGGCAGGGGGGCCAGATCATCGGAGTCGCTGAGGCTACAGTAACAAGTGTGGACCCCTCCCACTCCACTTTATACACTGTCGCCAAATTAGCATTCACTGCACATTCCCCAAACGCCTTCCAGAGATCCTGAGCATGGTATTCAAAGCCCTTCATAATAATCTAACCTCAAACTACCTTTCCAGTCTTTTGTCACATTATACCCTGGCCAAATTTTTGACTTTCAGCAAATGAACCCACTCGTTAGCTGCTGTACACACCTTATATATTTTCACTTTATATCTTTCCCTTTACTTTTTTTATTTTGGTACTGGGGATCAAAATCAGGTTCTTGTGCTTTCGAGGCAGGTGCTGGAACTACTGAGCTAAATACCTGGCCCCTTTCTTCTTTTTTTTACGTTTATTTTTTTTTTTTTGGTACCAGGGATAGAACTTGGGTCCTTGCGCTTGCGCAGCAGGCAGCGAACCCACTGAGCTAAATCCCCGGCCCTCTTCTTTTTTTTAGTACTGGAGTTTGAAACCAGGGCCTCACACTGAGCTACATCTCCAGGCATTTGAATTTTATTTTTTTTGGTACTGGGGATCGAACTCAGGACCTTGTGCTTGTGAAGCAGGTGGTGGAACCACTGAGCTAAATCCCTGGCCCTTGTTTTAGATTTTTTTTTTCTTTTTTTCATACCGGGAATCGAACTCTCCTCCTTGCACTTGCACAGCAGGCGGCGAAACCACTGAGCTAAATCCCCAGCCCCTTTGTTTTAGATTTTGAGACAGCCAGCGGGACAACAGAGTGAGACCCTAAGAAAAGGTGGAGAAAAGGAAGAAGGAAAAAAGGAAAGAAAAAATTAAGGATCTATCTAAAGTCTAACATCAAATAATAGTAACAAGTTACTGAATTCCCCAGGCTGGACTTAAACTGTTGATCCTCCTGCCTCAGCCTCTTGAATGCTGGGATCACAGGCATACACCACATCAGCTTGCATTGTTTTTTGAGATGGGATCTCACTATCTCATCCAAGCTGGCCTTGAACTCGTGGCAATCCTCCTGCCTCAGCCTCCTGAGTGCTAGGACTACAGGCCTGCACCACAACCTCCAGGTGCCATTATTTTCACTATGAGTACTGTAAATGTATTTTTCTTTTTTTGGTGCCGGGGATCAAACTCGGGTCCTTGCACTTGTGAAGCAGGCGGCAGAACCACTGAGCTAAATCCCTGGCCGAGTACTGTAAATGTACATTGCTAACCCACTAGTGTTTCATGATTGTTTCCAACTTTTTGTTTCTCCTAGCATTAATCATTACTTTGCTCTTTTGCTTTGTTCTTCAAAATATACCTATCATTAATTCTTCCCACATAAAGTTTCTCAGTACATACTTTATTCACTTCGTTGCCTCTATTAGGTAATTCATCACTTCCATTTTCCCCTGAAGCATTCTTTTTGTCTTTTCTTTTGTGGTACTAAGGATTGGACCTAGGGCCTTCACACTGAGCTACATCCCCAGCTCCCCCTCTTAAAAAAATTTTTTTTTTCAGTTATGGGGATCGAACCCAGGACCTTGTGCAAGGTAGGCATGGCACCACTGAGCTAAATCCTTCTTTTAATTTCTTGAATAATATCCTATTATTCCTATTCTTTCTGCAACTCCTGTTTGATGTTAGACTAGATAGATCCTTAATTTTCTTCTTTCCTTTCTTCCCTTCTTTCCTCCCCCCTTCTTTTCTTGAGGGTCTCACTCTTTGTCCAGCTGCTTTTCCTCAAACTTGGACTTGGGATCCTCCTGCTTTGGCCTTGGAGTGCTGGAATTATAAGCATTTTTCACCATGCCCAATTGGTCCTTGATTTTCTTATCCTTTTTTCCTCCATCATTCATTTCTTTTTACTTTTTAATGATTTCATCTTTTTGCAAATCTTATTAACATGTACAAGTCTTCCAACCATTTACCCATCCAACTTATTTATATATACTTATAATCATTTAGATAATTTATTGGATAGGTAAACTATCCATGATTTAAAATCCAAGAATCTCATAAAAACAGAACTGCAATGAAACATCTCTGTCCAGGCTGGGGATGTAGCTTAGTGGTAGAGCACTTGCCCAGTATGTGTGAAGCCCTAGGTTCAATTCCCGGAGCTGAAAAGAAAAATCTCTCGTACATTTGGTTCTCTAGTGCTCCAGTTCTCAGTAGGATACAAATTTGCAATCCTGTCCCAGCCTCCCACTTGGCTCCAATTACAGGTGTGGCCTCCACAGCTGGTTTATTTACTAAGTTCTCTTTATTCTCAATTCCTTTTCATAGTATTTTCTTCAGTTATCTTCCTCAAGTTTTGAGAATCATAACTGTACCTTTACCCCCTCAACGCGCACGCACACACACACACACACACACACACACACACACTTTGCCATCATTTTCATGGTTTCAATTTTCTTTGCTTGCTTTGACATCTGCTTTTCCTGCTGGAAGCTTCCTCAAATGTTTGAGGGACCTCTGCTCTTTTTCACATGTCAGAGTGAGAAACTGAAAAGCTGCCAGGAAGCTCTATGTACAAGGCTTATTAACTAAGAGGATTCACTCTCCTGTAATAAAGTGAGGGGAAGACACCCTCCCACCCCAGGAACAAGAAATGGCAGCATTTATAGGCCCTTTCTCCCTATAGTTGTTCAGTTTGTTCAAAGGGGTTTGTCAGTGTGCCAATGTTCAGTCCTGGCATTTATATACTGCTCTATTTCCTCCCTACCATTTCTGTAGACTGAATCTCCCATTTCTTTTTTTGGTACCGGGGATCGAACTCTGGTCCTTGCGCTTACGCAGCAGGCGGCGAAACCACTGAACTAAATCCCCGGTCCTCTCCCATTTCTTATAGAGAACTCAGGGTCATCCCTTGGCTGGATCTGATGAGGGAAGGGGGACAACTTATTTTACACAGATGTTTGTGCAATTTCCCTTTACTGCAACCGTAACCCTTACAACTCCCCTGAGGTGCTGAGCCTTTTCTTGGTTCTTATTAATAACCACTCCAACAGGTAGGACATAACTTACTCTAAGGCACCTTCTACTCTCCCATTTTCCAAAATGTTTGATCTTTCTTATTCCTTATCACCTCATTTTCCTTGACTCATGTGCCTTTTTAGAATCCCTTGACTGGCATTTTAATGGGGTTTTTGGAGGGAGCAAAACCCCTTAATTTTCCATATTTAATTGCCAATCTTGTGCTACTGTGTGGAGGATCGAACGTAGGACCTCCCACATGGCAGCCAAGTGCTCTACCACTGATCCATATCCCTAATCTTTTGTATTTTTTGAGACGGCTCTAAGTTGTGCGGGCTGGCTTTGAACTTGTGCTCCCCAAAACTCCGCCTTGCAAGCACTGTGAGATTACAGGTGTGCACCACCATGCCCAGCTTGGCTTTGAATGTGTCCTTCTAAGCTTTTTCAGGCCACCTCAGTGTCACTATTTGGTGAAGCCTTCCCTACTGAGGCCACCTAGAAGGAATCTTTCCTTCCTAGAAAGTCCTATGGGTCCTTTTTGATCTCTGCCACCAAAGATGCCTTATAATTACTTTAACTGCCCTATTAGGTCCAGGCCATAACCTTTATATGCTCCCTAAGTATTAGATCCTATACTAAGCCTCAAACTTTGGTTTACTCAACAAGAAAATTCAGCCCATCCCTGGGCAGCCTGTTTTTCCTCTACAGAAATGCCTTCATGCCCCCAAGTAGAGCTAGGTATCTTCTCCTCAGGCTTATTCTTTTCCGCTCAATGAAATGAAGGCACCCATTTTATCTATCATGTCCAGGGACAGGTGGCACTTGTTACACAACAATATTTGCTACCGTTTGTGTCAACAGAGGAAAAAAATCACCAACTCATTTTATATGAAGGCAACCAAGAGCTCACAAGGGAGACGAAGGGCATGTCTCAGGGCTGAGGTTAAAGGAGACAAGACAGGAAGGTGACACACTGTCAAGGTTCAGAATCAAACACCAGCTCTACAGTGGCCAGCTGTGTGACCTCTCTGAGCTGCAGGTGCCTCATCTGAAAAATGACGAGATCCACTGCACAGGGCCGACTTGAGAGTTAAATGAAGTAACACAACATCATATTTAGGAGAAAGCCTGCTGCACATTAGACTCTCAATGCTGAGGGAAAGCACATTTAAAAGCAGCCCCTCCCTGCCTTCTTACTGGCTTTAGGTTTTACTGGCTTCCGGGGGCAACTTCCTTCATGGAGACACAGATGTGGAAGCAGAGTTCTACACTGAGGTTTGAGTCCTTAGCTTTACCCTTCAAGAAGCAGAGACCTTGAGCTCATTTCTGTATCTTCAAGACCAAGTGTGGCCCAGCTTCCCTGATGGGACCAGTCCTGGGTCCCCTGGAAAAGGCGTGGGAGAGGGACCGGTGAGTGCCAATAGGCTTGCAAGGCCTGGACACGGGCCTCAGCTGGGACTGGCTATGGACAGGCTCAGGCACCGCGCCAGGACAACTGGTTCCCCCGTGAGGCACCACAGTACCACCTAGTGGCCACAACACCCCCGCTTCCTCTCCCCAGGGCTCGGGCAGAGCTGCCAGGTGAGTTCACACACTTTACAGCTGCTGTCGGGGCTGGAGGGAAACCAAACATACCTCTGTCTCTTTTTTTTGGTACCGGGGATCAAACTCGTGCTTGCGAGGCAGGCGACGGCACCACTGAGCTAAATTCCGGGCTGTCTCTTTTTAATATTGACAAAAGCAAGCAGCAGAGAGGGCCAGCTGCTCTCTACTGTCCCTGAGGGAAACCAGAGCAAAGCTGCGCCTCCGGCCTTCCTCCAGCTGCAGGGGCTGCCTCTCTCCTTAGGCAGGAGCTTGGCTTCGGCCCCGCGTCCCTCACCCCAACTCCCCAGTTAGGGTGGAAAGAATACTGTCGTTCCAGCCTCTGCTCCTTCAGGCCCACCCTGGATGGTGCTCACTCTCCTCCTGCAGGTCCTCACGTTTCAGTCCTGGGAGTGAGGAGGGCAACAATCACACATGGGAGCGGAAGTGTGACTTCAGTCATCTTCAGACGACTCCTCTTCTGCCTCTTTTAGCCACTGGATGAACCTCTGCAGCTGGAAGGAAGCAGAGGGGAGCTACTGGGGGCGGGGCATGCTCCGCCTGTTCCCCTCAGTGGATAAACAGCTCCAGTCACCAGGGTCCTGGAGTCGGGTCCAGGGTCAGGGAACCAGACAACTGCCTCATGAAAGGGCAGCCCAACTCACTTGCTGATTCTTGCGCAACTGCCGGCCCTTGTCGGTTATATCCCTTTGGGTGAACCAGCTCAGGATTGTCTCCTCAGCCAGGATCTCCAGCTGGTAGAAAGCCATCAGCACCTGCAGAAGGCCGGCAAAGGGATCTCAGGGACTCTGCAGGGTGCAGCGGGACACAGTGGCTAACAGGGAGAGGAGGCAGGACCCTGGCACTTCTACCAGGCCCTCACCATCCTTCACACCTGGAGCAGCCTCGTCCTCCAGGGACACTCGAGTCAGGTCTAACTTCTGCAGCGACTGCTGGGTAGTGCTTCATATACCACCAGGGCAACACCCAAGCAGCTACCCTACTAGTACCTGCCTGGCTCTAAGCAAAAGTGCAACAACATTTGGCATATGGTGCTGTGAGCCAAATTTGTGCTGAGTTCACGTTGGCCTGGGGGTCACCAAGCCCTGTTTGAGAGCAAATGCAGGAGCATAAGGTCTGAAGTGGTGTTCACCTTGGCCATGGAAGTTCCGAGAGCTTCATGCCCCAGGAAGAAGTCCTCAATGGCTGCCAATGCTTCCAAGTGGTCAGTTGCACGCTTTATGTAGTTCCTAAAAACGGGGCTCCAGCCCTTGAGCAGCTATGGAAGAAAGGAGACTCGAACTGCAATACATTCTGAGGTGCACTTATACCCGTGAGCACAACCAACGTTGGTAACATGGGTTTTTCATGACATGGGAACACAACAGGGAATAACACAGGCCCTGTGGAATTACACAGAGGGAGGAGGGAGTTGTTGCCAGTCATGGCTGGGGAAGAGATTCCCCAGGGAAGGTGAAAGGGATCAGATGCTGTAGGCTGCCTCTAAATACCCATTCCCAGCCTTGAGGTTGAACTTGTTCTGGGTCAGCTCACTTTCAGAGACCCAAAATCCAGATCTATTCATTGTTGTTGATTTTTGTTTGTTGCTTTGCGTTGGAGGTCTCACTATTGTTGCCCAGGGTGGCCTTGAACTCCTGATTTTAAGTGATCCTCCCACTCCAGCTTTCCAAGGAGCTGGGACTATCAGCCAAGCCAAGCCTAGCACCCAGATGTATTTCTGAGTATCCCTTTGGGGCCCTTGTGCTGTCTGAATTCTCCAGTCTCAAAGGTCACTCAGTGTTGAACCCAACCTAACTCTTTAGGACCAGCCAGGGCTGCTCTGGAATCCAATCAGCTTCCAGAGGCAAGGAGAAAGGAAGCAGAAATAACACAACCCACAACAAGATCATTTACCCTTTGACTTTACAGTCAAGCATAGCAACAATGTGTATCTGCCTCCACCCAGTCCCCTGAGCCCAGCCCCAGGCTTTGCTCACAGGAAGCAGTAGAGCACAGTATTGAGTCGGGCTGGGTGGCGAATCCATCTGCTGCAGGGGGAACTCCAGGACCACATGGCTCAGGACCTGCATCACTTCCTTTAGGCTTATGTTGTAGGCATACCTGTGGGGAGACTGGTGTGATGCCAGGGCCTTCGACACGAAGTGGAGAGGAGGTCAGAGAGAAGAACACGGAAGGGGAGTCTATGTTAAGGTAGAGCCGAATGTTCTCCCTGCCCAAATACTTCTGGCCCTTTCCCTTTGGGACCCTGGCAGAATAGGTTTGTATCTGGGTAAAGAAACAGTGGGAGAGAATCTATAAGTGCCTAGAATTACCCAGAGGAGAGAACAGGCAGGGGATCCTCTTACTTAAGAGAGTTGATCTCCAGGACAAGATTGTCACAAGAAATGTTTTCCTCGTTCCCTCGCTGCAACGTTCCCAGGACCTCATTCTGGAACACTAAAGAGAAAGAATAAACTCACAGGTCAACATCAGCCCAGAACGCTTTGTTTACGTCAGTCCTGACATCATGCCAAACCCTTTCTGGGAGGCATGCGAGCCTCTGGCCAGGTGACACAGGTGAAAAATAAACTGGAGGTTGTCCCTGTGCCTAGCCCGCTACTCACCTTTGATGTCATCCAACTGAGGGGAGCCTCCCCGGCTGTCCAGCCCCTCCGAATCCGTGCTTCTCTCACTTTCAGTCTCACTCTCTTCTTCTGTGTTGATCGTGAGTCCTGAGAACCCAAGAAAGGCAAGAAAAAGAAAAACTAAGGGAAGCCGGGTGTGGTGACACACACCTGTAATCCCAGCACTTGGCAGGCTGAGGCAGGAGGATCACTGTGAGTTCGAGGCCAGCCTGGGCTACATAGTGAGTTCAGGGCCAGCCTGAACTACAAAGGGAGACCCTGCCTCAAAAAACCAAAAAGGAAAAAAAAGAAAAACTAGGGGAGAGTAATTGTTGAGAGCCCTGTACCTGCCCTGTCAGCCAAAGCAGAGGAATGAACAAGTGATCTGACTCCAAAGTATTCGCTACCTTTCAAACTACTGAGCATTAGCTTACCCCACAGACTCTGCCGCAGTTCCTCTTCGTCCTCTACATTCGTGTCTGCAGCTTTCCAGAGGTAGCCCTGGCCCGCGTTGCCCACCTCTGCTGGGTTGTAACCTGGGAAAGGCACCGATTTTTAGACTGGGGCCAGCAGAAGTGGAATCCTCCAGAAGCAAACAGTGGCTTTCCTAGGGGGCAGGGAGATGCAGACGCCCCACACCTGTCGTGCCTCGCACCTTTCAGCTTCACTTTCTCCTTTTCCTGGTTGGCCCCGGAATCGTCACTGAACTGGCTGTCATCCTCATCTTCCTCTGCGTCTGGAGGGTGCAAGGAGATCACCGAGCCCTCAGGCAGCGTGATATTGGGACCTACTACGACCTAGGGGAGAAGAAAGGAGCTTGTGACAGACCCATCCACATGCTGAGGAAAGTACATCCTGACAAGGAGAGGTAACGAGACCACCAGGTTAGGATTCTCAGGGGGAACAAGGTCGTTTTTCAGGGCTTGTGCACAGTACGAAGCAGGTCTCACCTGGGAGGTGAGGACGCAGTGTGGCTTCAGGATGACTCGTTCCTTGACCTCAGCATGGTCACAGAGCAGAGACTGATGGATCTGCGCTCCAGCAGCCACTCGAACTCCCCGCCACAGGTAGGCCTGGTCCAGGACCACACTGTCACCTGGCTCGGGTCGGGGAGGGTTCCTGGTCATTCACGCCTCCATCTCCAGCCCAGTCCTTCATGGAGGATGAGGCTGATGGACACCAGCCCAGCTCCCACTGGCTGAGACGCCAAACCCCAGGGCATCAGAACATCGCTCACCCTCTGCCATCCAGCCTGACTCTGCTCTGCCAAATTTAGAACAAGTTTGGACTGTTCACAAGGCTTAAGAATCTGAGAAACTTCCAGATTTCTGGGGATGAACTTAACCACCTTATGAGAATCAAATTATAACCTATTAGTAGAGCTATAACCTTATTAGTAGAATCAATTCCATCTCTTCTTGAACATTTTTTTTTTTTGGTACCAGGGATCAAACTCAGGACCTTGTGCTTTTGAGGGAGGCGGAACCACTGAGCTAAACCCCCGGCCCCTCTTCTTGAACATTTTAGAATCCGAAATTTAACTGTTATTCTTTTAAAGGGACAGTGCTGGGCGGGGATTTAGCTCAGTGGTTTTGCCACCTGCTGTGCAAGCGCAAGGACTGAGTTAGATCCCCGGTACCAAAAATAAAATAAAATAAAATAAAGGGACAGTACCATTAGAAGCATCACATTCCTACAGCCAAAGTGAGTTACCAAGAGGTTAACCAGGTAGTTATGGGAGAGCAAAAAGAACGCTGGACTCACAACCACCCAGAGTTCAAGGTAGCACTGTCTGTCCCCACCCACCCTCTTTTTGTTTTCTTGAGACAGAATCTCTTGCCTTGAATTCACTAAGTAACCCAGCCTGGGCTCAAACTTGTGGTGATCCTCCTGTCTCAGCCTTCTGAGTGCTGGGATTACAGGTGTGCACCACCACACCTGGTGGTACTGCCTCTTTATCAGCTATGACCTCAGGCGAGACAATCTCGAGGTGAGCAGCAGGTGAGCATCAGAACCACTGAGCTAAATCCCTGGGCTAGGTGAGACAATCTCTTTGAGTCAGTTTGTACAGTAGGGATAAATAATAACTACCTCTCAAGGTGTCTGTGAGGATTAAATAACTAATGTATGTAAAAGCCCTTTGTAAACAGTGATGCACTAAACAGAGGTTATTACTGCATGTTAATTATCCACTTGGTCCTGAATGTAAATATGGGGTACCCTAAAAGACTCATTTAGTAGGAGACTCACAGGGCACAAATTAAGGGATCAGGGGCCGGGGATTTAGTGCAGTGGCACCGCACCTGGCTCACAAGCACAAGGTCCTGAGTTCGATGCCCGGTACCACCCCCCACACACACACCAAAAAATTAAGGGATCAGTTGTCAAACTCTTGTTCCCTCTTTTTTTTTTTTTTTTGGTGGTGCCAGGTATTGAACTCAGGAACTTATGCTTGCCAGGCAGGCATGGTGCCACTGAGCTACATCCTCAGCCCTGTTCCCTCCTTTTTAAAGGTAGTTCTACTGTAGTTTTTTATTACCGAGGACACCCTTGTGTGCCCATCCTTGCTTCTAGAAACAATCCAGGCCCCTGGCTCCTGCTCCTAGAATGGCTGGCGTGACTGCCCTCCTGTGCTCACCAATATGGCAACCGGGGCCAATGACACTGTTGGTGATGGAGCAATTGCTGCCGATGACAGTGCCAGGGCCTAGGAGCACATTTTCCTCCAGGATGCTGCCGTGGCCCAGGCTGACCTCAGGCCCACGGTAGATGTTGTGTCGGGAATGAGTGCAGCTATGGGTGGCGCTGTCGGTGAAGTTGGCTTCTGGGGTGAGGGGGTAGACCCAGCGGCGGATGACGTCGGCACAGACAGCCGAGTACATGTGCAGGTTGGAGACCCGGGCACCATATTCCCTAGCTGTTACGTGCACGTGGATCTGGTTCCCCAGGATCTGAGTGAGAAGGAAGGAGGTCACCTGAGCTAGCAACACAGAACATCCCCAAGTACTGTACAATACTTTTCTAAGCCTCATCAGTTTCCTCTGCCTTTTACTGTTTCAGCCAAAGAGCATGCAGGTTTTCTTTGTGGACTGTTTCCTCCAGCCCCCCAGCTATTTTTTTCCCTCATAAGGCTCAATGAAACCCGAAAGGGATAAAAGATTACCAGAATGAGATAAAATGCAGCTCCAGCCTACTCTTCCAAAGAGGCTCTGGAAGCTTTTTCTTACCTCCTCATTCACCAGCAGGCCTCGCACAAAATCATCTCGAGTTTGGTAATCAAAGTTGTCTGTGAAGAGCTGGGCCACCTGTGGGTGGAAGTGTGCTGGGCTAAGGTTAGATGCTATTCTCCAGAAGCAATGATAAGTCAGTACCTCAGGGACCTATCAAACCCAAGTCAGGGCTGGAGCTGAAACTCGGTGGTAAAGCACTTGGGCAACATGCAAGAACCCTAAGTTCAATCCTGTGTTGCAAGAAACAAAATAAAACAAGGGCCGGGGATTTAGCTCAGTGGTTTCACTGCCTGCTGCGCAAGCGCAAGGACCCAAGTTCGATCCCAGGTACCAAAAACAAAACAAAACAAAACAAAACAAAAAAACCCCCCATGACAGCTGAACGAGGCCAGAACCCGAGAGGTTCCCAATATACCAGGGATAAGATAATAGCATCATTTTGTCTTACAACAGAGAAGAAAAGAGAGAAATATACTCTGGCCTTCTGGGCAGACAGCAACAGACCCCCGGAGTTCTACTCTTTGGACATGTGGGCCTGGCCCTGAGAGCTCACTTGGGGAGAGCAGATGCTGATGTGACAATCCAGTAAATCGTATCGAATCTCTACTCCATCTCCACTGCCTTGGAACAGACTCTGTGGGGAGAAATACAAGGACTTGAACCTGCCTCCCCTTCGGAAGCTGGTTACTTTCCCACCTTGGGTTTCTTAGGTACCCACATACCAGAGGAAATGAGAAGCGCCGGAGGCCCTGGGTTTTCTGGAAATGCAGAATCCGGTTTGTGGCACTATCCACAGCTACCACCACGTTGTCCTCATGGCAACGAGTAGGGTGGCTGGGGGATGACTCCTTGAAGATCATTGTCATCACAGATACATTTTTTTCTAGCTTCCGCCTCAACCTATGAAGGACAGGAGGGAGAGAGCTATAAAGGGGTGGCCTTAGGACACACATGTGTAAATACTGAATAGTTTCTCTGGCGTGAAAAACTAAACGTGTAAATAAGGATCAAAATGTATAATTGATGTGACATAGGAAGAAAAGGTCGAAAGGAGTAGGGGAAGTGGGAGGGGCAGGGGGAAGGAAGGAAGGGAAAAGAAAAAATATGAGAAAAGGAAAAATGGAAACAAAGTCTTTCTAAATAGGGAAGGGTGGAGGGGGTGAGGGGAGCACAGGTAATGGGGAAAAAATAAAAACCAAGATACATCATGTAAAGGTACAATGAGGAATATAACTCTATTATATACCTAAAATGTACCAATAAACTTAATGGAAAAAAAAAAGAGCGGCCTTAGGGTTCTGCAGGTCCCTAACCTTGGTCCCTGCCACTTTCCCATCCTGACCTGTGCTCCTCCAGGGCTCTGGTAATGTTGATGTTTGAGATGACGTCTCCATACACCAGAAGGAAGTCAGAGCGCACCAAGGCCTTGGCGTCAACATCACGGAGGACATCTCCCAGCGATCGATACAGCTCTGATGTGATTATTCGAACCACATTGAGGGATGTAGGGCGGTACCACTTGGATTTCCTACAGGAAGGAAAGGGTGAAGGAAATGAGTAAATGGATCATAAAGATCATGCGGACCTTCCCTACCTGCCACCATCCAGCATTCACACTCCTTTATGGCTTTTTTGGGTTCCAGCCAGCGTCTTCAACTTCAAAGAGATTTATGAACTATAATTAATGCTTTCAGCATTCTATGTCATTAGTTCTGTTTTATGGGTTAGAGAAATATTTCCTCTCTATGCCTTGACCTCTGTCTCCAAATCCTGCTGAAACCTAGGGTATAAAAGAACTTTGGGAACATACTTTTCATGTCATCTTTACCCTGAGGTCCATATCAAATTTAGGAACTGTCTGATGGCGACCCTACCAATAGCTAGTCTTTACTTCCTAAGCTTCCACAAATTCTGAGATGTATTCTTTCCTGAGATTTTAGCAAACATTTGTGAAGGGTTTTTATGTGTATGGCACTACACTAGGCAGCGGGAAAACAAAGATGCAAAAGAGCTCATTCTTGTCCTTATGGGGAAGAACAGATATTTGGAAACTCAGTGGAAAAACAAGCTGTTATTCTAATAAGTTACATATTAGAATCATTAAATGAAAAGCAAAACCCAAGTAAGATTCAGATAAACCCAAGCATCTTTGAGGTTGGGTGCGGGGAGAGAGAGAGCACTTCACTACATTTCCCAGGCTCGTTTTGAACTCTTGGGCTTAAGGGATCTCTTCTTCAGCTTCCAGAGCAGTTGGGACTCCAGGCACCACCTCGAACAAGTGTTAGTCCAATTTTTGTCATAAGAACCTCCAAATGGACAGATACAGAGCTACAGCTCCTCAACTCAAAAGTGAAGCAAACATCCTTAGACCTTACCACGGGATCTACAGAGACACATTGTTTTCCTCCTAGCATTTCCCCTTATTCAGTCACATCCATCCTGAAAAACTACAGAGAGATCATAAAACATGGAAAGAAAAGTCACAGGGCCTTACAGTAAATGTTCTTTGATTTGAGCAGCCTTCCAACAGCAAAAGACAAAGGTTTCCTGTACACCCGTGGCTGTCAGGAATTCCAGAGTGTAGTCAATTAATGCCACGTTGGCCAGGGGTAAGAGGACCTGCAGGGCAGGATATGAAAAAAACTTTTGAGGTCTTGAATCCATGAGGGTCCTTTGGGTACCCAACTGCAACAATTTTCACTCATCTATCAGTGTTTCCAAATACTACAGTTTTACTTCATCTTTCTAAACCAAAAATAAATAGGTTTCTGTTTTTGTTTTGTTTTGTTTTAAGACAGGGTCTCACTTTGCAGTGCAGGCTGGCCTTGAACTCACTATGTAGCCCAGGCTGGCCTCAAACTCCTGCCTCAGCCTTCTGCGTGCTGGGATTACAGGCATGTGCCACTGTGCCCAGTGGTTCCTGCTTTTGATGTTCACAGCATGTGCTAAGTTTGAGGCTAATGCATTTTAATTTGGGTACAGTAACCACGGAATCTATTTGTCTAGTATCAGACACAGAGTTTCCAGGTTTTACAAAGGACAGTACTGGACATTAATCACATATCCAGAACTCTAAGCACTATTAAGGTCTTCTTTGGCATAAAATTTCCTTCTTTTATTCTTTCATCTCTCTCTGCCCTTTCCTCTCTTGTTTAGTACTGCGACTGAATTCGGGGCCTTCACAATGAAGCTACATACAGCCCCAGCTCATTTTCTTTTTTTTGGTACCAGGGATCAAACTTGGATCCTTGTGCTTTCGAGGCAGGCAGTGGAACTACTGAGCTAAATCCCCGACCCCCCCAGCTCATTTTCTTTCTTTCTTTTTTTGTTTTTGGTACCAGGGATCGAACTCGGTTCCTTGCGCTTGCGAGGCAGGCGGCGGAACCACTGAGCTAAATCCCTCCCTCATTTTCTATTTTCTGAGACAGGGTCTCATTAAGTTGCTAAACTGTCCAGACTCAGCTCAAACTTGCGGTTCTGCCTCAGCCTCCCAGACTGCAGGGATTACAGGCCTGTGCCACCAGGCCTGGCTCCTTGAGCCTTTTCTAAGTCACCGGCTGGCTGCCCTTCATCACTTGTCAAAAATGAACAGCCATTAGGCCTTCTGGGGGATTGTTAGGGAAGATTTTCCTGAATTTCAATGAGTTTCCTCTGTTAGATCCCAGGACTAGCTCAGTCCGAATTTCTATTTTTAGATAACTCGGGAGCTAAAAGCAACCAGCCACTAAACCCATTCTGTTCTCCTTCAGACAGCAGTGGTGGTTATTAAAACATAGAAGAGGGGGAAAAAAGTACACTGCCTTGAGCTCTAGCCTGTTCTTTTTAGGCACACTGGTTATCCTCTCAGAGGCCAAGAGAGGCGTTGCTCCTTTCCAACTAAGCATCTCTCTTCCACAGGGTTAGAGGCAGTGCAGGGTCCTCTGGGGCCACTGACTCCCATTGTGAAGGCTTCCCTCCCTCAGCACTAGTTCTGCCTTTAACTCTCTCCATCCTTCCAGACCTGGGGTGGACAACCCTGAGGGCTTACACCTGCAAACCACTCACTTGGTCAAGCAGTCATGAGGTTTCGACAGCCCCTCTGCTTTCCTCCTAGCCGGATAAACCCCACTTTACAATAATCAGGGGACACAATTCCTTCCAGGGCGTGCTTCACTTGCCAGCCGCAAGGACAACCTGCTCCTGAACCACCACCCTCCCGGCCCGCATCTGCTTCCATGCCGGCGCTCACCCGAGGCTGGTCCTTAGAGATCGGGAAGAAGCGACGGTTGAAGCTATCAGCCACAAGAACTGCTTGCAGGGGCGGCGGCGGTTCCTCCTCCGTCGCCCTGTTTCCCCCGCCAACGCCGCGGCTGCCTCCTCCGCCTCCGGGGCCCTCGCCACCTCGCTTGTTGGCCCTACTGGCCGCCGCACCAGGTGCTGCCACCACAGTGGCCGCCATCTTCTTCCCTTACGGCCACCACTTCCGCAGGGAAGCCGACACCGCACGCAGTAGGGGACAAAAAGCACCCAGCACTGGAAACGCGAAGGACCGACGGAAAGAGGGAGACGGGGGAGGGATGAGTGCGTAGGGGTCCCTCCTACGGGCCCGCCCCTTCCCATGGGAGGTCTGAGCAGGGAGGCGTGGCGCAGGGCCGGGCCTTCCAGAGCGGTGGGAGAGCAGGGTGTGGTGGGGTTGGTTCCTTGGACTGCAGCTCGGTCAGCAGGATTGTAGGCCTTCATTTGTACGAGAGGAAACGGAGAGTCCTGCGGCGTGATGGGACTTGTGGTTGCCGCGAAGGAGACGGAGCCTGGTGGGATCTGTAATCGTCTGGCAGTTTCCCTGCCCGAGCGCCGCAGTCACCGTATGGCACCGCGGCTGGGGCAGCGTGGGGGCTGCGGCCGAGCCAGACTCCGGCACCGCGGGGCAGCTCGCGATCCGCTTAAACACAGAACGTGTGTGTGTGTGTGTGAGTGTGAGATTCTCTGGAGCGCGGATGGTGGGCCTGTGCCATACAAGCATTAGCTCAGTTAATTTCGTCACACCTCTCTGCGAGGGACCTTATTTCTTTTATTCAATAAATCATTCTTTCCTCCTTCTCTTCCTCCCCCTCCCCTTCCTCCTTCTTTCTTTTTTCTTCTTCTTTGATGCTGGGAGCAAACTTTTCTTTTCTTTCTTTTTTTTTTTTAGATAGAGTCTTGCTGCATATCCCAGGCTGGCCTCGAACTTACAGCGATCCTCCTGAGTGCTGGGATTATAGGCGTGTGCCAACATGGTCTGGCAGCAAACATTTCTTGAACTTTTTCCCCCCAATTTTAATTTTTTATTAGTACGCGTTTGCAGCACACACGATTACCTTCCTCATGGGGTGTTGGTGCATGTATACAACACATCTTCTTTCTTCCTCCCTTCCGCCCTCCATCTCGTGGGCCCTTCCTATTTGCAAATGATCTGTCTTCCTATTATCTATCCTTTATTTTGCTCTTTTTTATATTTTGAGTTTAGTATACAAGAAAGACCATGCAGGGCCGGGGATTTAGCTCAGTGGTTCTGCTGCCTGCCTCGCAAGCACAAGGTCCAGGGTTCAATCCCCGGTACCAAAAAAAAATTTTTAAAAAAGACCATGCAATCGCTTCTCGGCCTTTTGCCTAAGATCAAGTGAAAGACCATGCAATATTTAAGCCTGTGTGTCTGATTTATTTCACTTAACATTATGGCCTCAAGGTGCATCCATTTTCCAACCAATGACTCAAGTTTATCCTTCTTTGTGGCAGAGTAGTACTCCATTATGTGTAAACACATTTTCTTGATCCATTCATTTGTTGATAGACACGTAGGCCATTTCCAAGATTTAGCTGTTATGAGCTGTGCTGCTATAAACATGGGCGTGCATGGATCACTGTAATGTGATGCCTTGAACTCTTAGAAAAATGAAAAAAGTACTCCCTGCTAGTAAGTGGAAAACTGGTACTGGAACCCGAAATCCCTGACTTCCTAGTTAGTTCCACAACCTTTCTGCCAAGTTATGTGGGGATAAGGACTATTTTAGCGTTCGTTCTTTCATTCATTCGTTCGTTCATTCACCCTTATTAGACTACGCTGTGGCTTAAACCCAGGGGAGACAGGCTGGGTCCAGATCGGGAGGAGTGGCAAGCTCCAGGCCCGACTCCGAAGGGCACTGCATGTTTGGAAGAGACTGGTGGCTGCAGACAAAACCGATCCCACGGTAGGGGATGCGAGGCGGCCGAGTCACCGGGCTTCCTGTTGTTTCCAGCCCGACTTTACTCGCTCTCGGGCGCCCTGCTCTTGGGACCAGAGGTTGTTCTTTCTTCCCTCCCCCGTTCATGAGGGCGCCGAGTGAAAACCACTTGATTTTGGAAATTTTAGTCTGGATCAGGAAAGGGAGAAAGCAACTCAGTAAAAGTTTTCTATTAATTGAATGTCCTTTGTAGAGGAGAAACATTAAATAGGTGATTTGCACAGTGCACGCGCACTCGCATGCAGGGCGAGTCCGGGTGAGGCTGCGAAAGTAGGTCCAGTGGAAGGTTTTCTTTAAGGCAGGTCTGCTCCCTCAGCCAATGGTAGAAATTTGTAAATGATTTCCGTGACTTTGGAAAGGGGCGAATCTGCTTCTAAGGCGTCAGTGGGAGTGGCAAGTCCAGGCCGAGAATTCTGTAGACTGACAGCTGGACGGGTGCTTTTTTACTAGATGGGCTGGAGGAGGCTCTCAACCCTCTGCTGAGGTCTCTGTTTCAGCACTTTCCTGGAAGACTGAAAACCACACATACATAATCCTGCCCCATATATAAAAATAAAAATCGGGCCTGGGGTTTAGCTCAGTGGTGCTGCTGCCTGCCTCGCAATGCAAGGTCCTGAGTTCAATCCCCGGTACCAAAAAAACAAAAAGATTTGACTTACTTTTATTTTTGTCTTTTTTTGATACAGGGTCTCCGTTGTTCAGACTGACTTCGAACTCACTATATAGCCCAGCCTGGCCTCCAACTTGCAGCAATCCTTCTGCCTCAGCCTCCCGAGTGCTGGGATTATTGTGTACCACCAGGCCCGCCTGGACTTATCCATTTTTGACTTTACAATAGTACAAAAGCTATGTGCACTCAGTGAAACTGCACTTTGAATTTTGATTTTTTTCCCAGGCTATGGAGATGCAGTATTATACTCTAGCAGTACCTGCCTCTGCCAAGCCCTGGATCATGAAGGCAAGTGACTGCTACTCTTTGTTTGTATATCTCCATCTGGAGACACCTGGCCACAGGTACATATTCAAATGCTCACACACAAAAAAGAGATAAAGTCTCAAATGCTCACACACGTCCAAACATAGAATTATGTTTGAGACAGTGCACCCTGTGATTATATGCTGGTACTCCAAGTCAGACTGCCTGGATTCCACTCTGGGCCTAGTCATTTCCTGGCTGGTGAATCTCTGATGCCTGGACTCTTTCATCGTTGAAGTGGAACAAGCATAGTACCACGTAACGTTGTTGTGAGAAGTCAGTGAAGTAATATGTGAAAAGTCCGCGGAACAGCGGTCGGCACATGTAACTGTTATTAACGTGATGCATTGTGTTGGCAACTTGATTTTAATATATGGTGGAATGCAGACAAACTTAGCTGTTTTCAGTGATTCTGTAATAGCCATAATTTATCTAACCACTTCTTCATTGTTAAATGTTGAGATTGTTTGCAGTTTTTGTGCTTGCAAATAATGCTGCGACAGCCATCCTCATAAATATATGAGGAGATATGTTTACCAATTTGTATTTATTTCTTAGAATCCATTCTCTTTTATTTTTTGTCTCTTTCATTTTGGCCTTCTCTTTTTCTTTTTTGGTGCCAGGGATCAAACTCAGGACCTTACCCTTACTGGGCAGGCGCTGCACTGCTGAGCAACATCCTCAGGTTGGAATTTATTCCCAGAGCAGAGTAACTGGTTCAAACTGGATACAGTTCCTGAAGCCTGCCCAGGCTCGGGAGGAAGCAGTGTCGGCCATATCACCCTGACAGGTGAGGAACAGTGACTGCCCGTCCCTCATGGCCTCATGACCAGAGTATTTTGTCAACAGTTTGGACTTTCTACTAATCTATGAGTGGATAGATGTGTGGTTTAAATCTGCTTTTCTTTTACTTTGAGTGAAATGAAGACATCTTTTCATATGTTAAAGGATTGCATTTATGGTCACCCGTTCTGATTCTTTTTGTAAATTAATATACAGATGCTCCTTCACTTATGGGGTTACGTCTTGATAAACCCATCATAAATTAATAATATAGCAAGTAAAAAGTGCATTTAATACTCCTAAGCTAACCTAACACCATAACTTAGCCTAGTTGACCTTAAGCACATTTATATTACCCTATAGTTGGATAAAATCATTTAACACAATGCCTATTCATTTATAATAAAGCATTGAATATCTCAGATATTCACACAGATGGACTTTTTTTTTCTTGAGACAGAGTCTTGCTATGCAGTTCAAGCTGGCCTTGAGCTCACCATGTAGCCCAGGCTGGCCTCAGACTCTCAGAAATCCTCCTGCCTCAGCCTCCGAGTGCTAGGATTACAGGCCTGCACCACCACACCCAGCATAGATGGACATTTTGTAGACTTGATGGATGTCGAAATGCAGAACATAACATTCAAAACTGCTGGCCACCCAGCCACTATAGAGTATTATTTACCCTTGTGCTTCTGCTCCCTCCCCTTGCCCAGCCCCGTGAGAGAGGACTGTATTGCAGGTCACTGGCCTGGGAGAAGTTCTAAACACCAAATTCAAAGTATGGTTTCTACTGAACTTTTTTTTTTTTTTGTACTGGGGATCGAACTAGGGACCTTGCACTTGCAAGGCAGGTGGTGGAGCCACTGAGCTAAATCCCCGGCCCTCTACTGAACTTTTGAAGATGGGCACACACCTGTAATCTCATCATTCAGGAGGCTGAGACAGGAGGATCCCTGTGAGTTCAAGACCAGCCTGGGCTACACAGTAGGTTTAAGGCCAGCCTGAACCACACAGCAAGACCCTGTCTCAAAAATCCAGCAAAACTAAAAACTAAACTAAACTAAACTAAACTCAAACCTTTGTAGGTGGGGACCATCTGTATCTGCATTTAGATTTCAAAACGGGTCTTGAAGGTCAATCAGCCCTGAAGGTAAGCTCTGTGAAAATCTGAGCTGTTTATTCTCTGTTGTATCCCAGGTGTTTCAATGAGTAACTGGTGCTCAGCAGATACTCAGTAAATATTTGTTAAAGGACTGACTGGCTGTTACTAGTTAGTGACTGAAAGTCTGATCAACTTTAGGCAAACAAAAGTAATTTTGAGTTTTCCCAAAGTGGAAGCTCATTTTCTTTTTAAATTGTGGCTAAAATTCAGATTACATAAAGTTGCCGCCTTAACCACTTTTAGTTTTTTGGTTTGTTTTTTCTTTGAGGCAGGCTCTTGCTTTGTAATTCAGGCTGGCCCTGAACTCACTATGTAGCCCATGCTGGCCTCGAACTCACAATGATCCTCCTGCCTCAGCCTCCCGAGTGCTGGGATGATGAGTGGGCCACCACGCCTGGCTACCTACCACTTTTATCTTTTTTCTGCAATTTTTTTGGAGGGTACCGGGGATGGAACTCAGGACCTTGCACTTGTGAGGCAGGCAGCGGAACCCCTGAGCTAAATCCCTGGCCCTGTACCTACCACTTTTAAATGTACAGTTCAAGCCTGGCAAGATCGACCACGCCTGTCATCCCAGCACTCGGGAGGCGGAGGCAGGAGGATCGCTGTGAGTTCCAGGCCAGCCTGGGCTCCATAGTTAAGAGTTCAAAGCCAGCCCAGGGGATTTAGCTCAGTGGTTCTGCTGCCTGCCTCACAAGTGCAAGGTCCCGAGTTCGATCCCTGGTACCAAAAAAAAAGTCTTTTCCTTAGGGGCCAGGGATTTAGCTCAGTGGTTCCGGCGCCTGCCTCGCAAGCGCAAGGTTCCCAAGTTCAATCCCCGGTACCAAAAAAAAAAAAGCCAGCCTTATCTACAGAGCAAGACCCTGTCTCAAAGCAACACAAAACAAAAATCTCTCCACAGTTCAGTTGAAACAGTTTGAGAATTTTCAGAAGAAATTTAACTCAAAAACAATGAAATTTTCAAAAAGGAAACCTAAGTCATTAACAAGCAACACCGCCTGTGGTTGCGTGGCCATGAAAGAAGGATGGTGGTGTGCGGAGTTGGGCAGCAGTGTCCCCTGCAGGTCATCGTGCGTCAGGCGGAGCTGGGTTGGGCGTAAGCAGCCTGCCCGGAGGAACACGGGCACTGGGCGGGGGAGCCGGCAGGGGGACCCACTGTCCCCGCCGGCCCCGGACGGTCCCAGTCTCGGCCTGAAAGTCCTGTGTCCTGGATGGAGAGCAACCCCGAGTCCCTGCACAATAGAATTGTTGGTCACCTGCCAAGCTCTGCTGGGGGAACTCCCTGCGGGAGAGCCACAGGCTGCGTTTCCCAAGGCCTGCGCCGGAAGGGCGGAGTCTAGGGTGAGCCGTGCTAGTGTTTGCTGCCCAGGACAGAAGACCGGAGGCAGAGAGAGTCTGTCTAAACGCAGCCCCAAAGAAAATACCTGTTGCCTAAGAGGGGACAAAAATTAGATTGATTTCAGTAGAACAAAAATGGAAGCCAACAGAGAATGGTGTAACATCGTCAAAATATTGAGAGAAAATGGTGTCAGCTAATTATCTTTCAAGAACAAGAGTAAAATAATTTTCAGATAAAGACGAGACAGTCCAACACCGGTTTTGTTTTTGTTTTTGTTTTTAACTTTTCTAGGTCCTTTGTACTCCTACATAACTTTTAAATTTCAATATCCAATTCTTCATTTATAGCAAGTAT